CGGGGCCGGGATTCCCGGGCTTCGGCCCCGCGCCTCCGGGAGCTTGGAGAGAGTGGCCGATCGCAGTCGCCACGAGGGTAATGAAGGGAGGCGGGCCACCGGGAGACAAGAGGGGCCGGGGTGGGGGGACGCGAGGGGTGCTGCTCGGTCCGCGCACGGCCCGGGACCCCTCGAGCCCGTGGAGCCCGGGCAGGAGTACCGGGAGCTCAAGCTCGGCGGGGCCCCAGGTGGCGCCTGCCGCGGTGGCCACGCCAGGTGCCTTCCTTCCCCGCGGCGCTAGCTCACCTTTGGCCCCGCTCGCCTGCCTGGCGTGTTTTCCACTGAAGATCCCCGCGGGTCCCGCTGCAGCTGCCACTGTCTGCGAGTTCGCTGCCAAGTGGCCCCCAAGCAGGACCAGGAGGGAGCCTTTTACAAACAGGACGAAATGCTCAAGCGTCTTCCCGTCCTCGGTCTTGAAGTTGAACGTTGTGTTTTCCCTTCCTGGGTTTGTTGTGTCAAGTAGCCTTTTTCCTGATCAGGGTTTGTGACCCTGCGCCCACCTCGCACAGTAGGCACTCAGGAAATATTTGCTGGGAAGCCTGAGTCACCGTACTTTGGAAAAGTCTACCGAGCTGTGCGTCGCTGTGATCTTTGTTAAGATTTTATGGGTTCCCAAGATCGTTTTGGAAATTAGTCATTTTGTAAAGCTCAACAAAGAGAGTTAAATTGGGTTGTTTTTACATGCCCTGGAACAGTGGCCTCTGTTGTGTGCCGAAATTGACTCAAGACTTGTGTTCTGTAACTAGATGGTGCCCTTTGGTTTCTACAGAAAGTGTTAATTTTTCAGATTAAAGCCTTTGGATGAAACATTCTATTATGGAACAAATCCAGATGATTTGTAAAGCTTTTAATTAGCTTTTTAGATACAAGTGCAAGGGACTATACTGATGTACTTAATCATACATTTAGCAGTATTATTTTCTAAAGAAAGGACTTTTATTCATATCTAGTGAAAGAGCATGCAGGAGAGAATTGACAGCAAGTCTCCCACCCACAACCCCACGCTGGCTGCAGCTGCTGCCTTGACCTCAAACTGTCTTGTAAAATCATCTCTTAATAGTCCGGTGTATCTAAGTAAAAAAATCTCTGGGATTAAACCATAGGAACTAACAATTAATACTAACAATTCTCATAAACTGTATCAGCTTTTTTCTGAGTTCTTCTGATAAATAGATAATGCAATGTAGTTTCAAACTGTTTTGTTATGACAAAAAAGTCAGTAACAACTTGCTGATGTTAAGAGAAAAAACAGGATACAAAACCATGATAACCAGAAAATTCAGTTAATCATGACCTCCATAACCTTGCTGCTTGTAGGAAAGTCAGCTACAAGTGGTCAGGGAGGGTCCCCAGCTCCCAACCCAGTGTCTGGCCCATGATCGCCAATCATTAAACACTTGCAGAATGAAGTGTGCTGAATTTCTTTGTGGGTGTAGTTTCTTCACTCACTTGGATATCTCCTTAGAATAGATTACCAGTGAGAATTGTATTGGGTCAAGAGGTATGAATATTTTCATGGTTATGGAAACATTGACAACTTGCTTTCCAAATGAAACTTACCATTTTGCACTGCCAGCAGTGTATTTAAGCATCCTGCAAGCTTTCAAACTGATACAAGGTTTGCTAGTTATGAGGACTTTCAGACATGGGTGGATTGATCTCAGTCACCCTAGAAGGCAGACCAGGCAGGCATTGCCTCTCCCCTTTTTCAGCAAAGCGGACTGCTGTTCCTGAAGTTACGGTGACAAATGACAAGTGACAGAATAATCCTAACCTTTCAGCTTCTTCCTTCCATTCTCTACCTTTGGTTTGTAGTGAACATCCTAAATAAATTCACTTTTTTCCTTAGCAATCAAATTGGATATTGCTGTATGATATTTATGGCTTACAAAATCTTCCTTTTCTCATTTTGCTAAAATATTTGTAGATGGCTTGATCACATTCGGGGACTTCATTAAAATGAAAGAATGAAGCACAACTTAGATGAAAGAGAGAATATTGGTTAGGTGTAAGGGAATAGCCTGCACTGGCAAGCTTAGTGCAGTGCCAGTTCTGTCGTAAAGGCCTGGAAATCATTGATGGTGCTATTGTAGCTGAAGAACTTACTACTTAAAACCTCTGACTCTGTTACAGAATCTTCTCATACGACTGAGATTAATACTCTGTTAGTAAAAGTGGACAAGAATTATTTGCATTAGAATCTGCATATCTTTGATATCTGTCAACAGATTTAAAGAATAGAATTGAGAGATAAGAATCATAAAACTAACCTACAAAAAATGTTATTTTCATATCAAAAGTAAAAAAAAATCTTTTTTCTAAGATATGGAAACAAAAAAATATTAATTTCTAGTCTATCCTGATTCTTTCTATATTTGTGGTCAGGGAGCCCAGATGACGTAGTAGCTAGTTAATCCAAAAGAAAGCTTTTGAAATTTTCAGAGTTTACTTATAAGTGGAACCATTGAAAATTCTTGGGTTTTATTTATAAGTGACACCATTTATACCAAAAGTGGATCCAAATTTGACTTTCTATATTGCTTTCACATTTGCTTGGGGTTCTTTTAAAAACCAGCACAGAAAAGATAGGGAAGGAGAGAGAGAAGTATAATGAGTCCTTGGGAATAGTAAGACCCTCCCTTCATTTTTACTCTGCTTTTCTGTTGTGATGGTAGATTCCAAATAGTGGTCAGTAAAAATAAATACTCTTCAAAGACACTTTTCAGGAATGTCTCTAGTGCTTGTGTAAGGAATAGTTTTCTTAAATATCGGGTGGGTTTATGGCAAGTAGTTCTTCAATGAACTTTTATGTGTTTCTAAATTATCTTGCTTTTGTTTTTTTATAGTAGAGTATTTCTGCGTTTTGAAAGGAAGATAAACAAAAATCTTCTTTGGAATAGATGGATTTTTGTCACTTTCTGTGAACTAAAGCGATTCAATGTCTCTTTTGGTAAGTTTCTGTCAACATTAGATTTCCTGCCATGAGAAAATCAGAGCCACGACAGAAGGCATGTTCTGGTGGCATATTCTTATACTCTGAGATGTTGTTTTGACCTGAATGACTTCTGGACTTGAGAAGTGAATTAAATTCTCATTGAGTTTTTGTTTCTTTCAAAAACAGCTTCCCCTGCACTTCAAAGAATATCCTCATAACTCTAATCCTTTGTCCCATACCTGCTTTTTCTCATAAATATGTTGTACTTAGATATGCCACTCCCACTTATTTAACTATGCCTTCTTTAAATCCTTAAAAAATTCCTTTTATAAATGTCCTTCTTCTGACTTAAGGCAAGCAAAATCATCTTAAAAATAAGTCCTTTGATTTAACAATTAGACAAAAATCATTTGACTCAGTGTGTAATAGGAGATATAGATGCTAGCTGGTTTTCTCTTTATATTAAATCCATGGTATCGACTTTAGATTAATAAAGTGGCTTGAGGGCTTTCATTCTGTCTTGTATACAGTATAATATTTGGGTAGATAATTTGTGTATTAAGACAGGGATCTTTTAAAACGTGGCAGGTTTGTTTGTGTGATGATTTGTAGTTTACAAATACTTTCATATATTTCTTTCATTCTTTAACATTAGGGGAGATTGACAGGGCAGGTTGTATCATCGTGTTGTATCCTCGTATTGACTTTGCCCAAGACTGCAAAGAATTGGAGCCCGTCTCAGGCTCCTGTCTGCCAATCTACCCCATCAGTTGCTACGAGGGATAAGGCTAAGTGGCAGAACTATGAACCTAGAAGACTGTATAGGGAGTTTTATGGAAAAACTTTGTAAAAAAGCTTTACCACTTGAAAGGGGAGCTTTATATATCTAGACAATGCATTCGGGTGAATTTCTCATTCTCTAAAGCAGGAATCAGCAAACTTTCTCTGTAAAGGCCAGATAGTATGTGCAATGTTGCCTATCAGGGAAGCTCATTAGAAACTCAGACTCAAGACTTTTCTTGGGGATTTGTTACGTCTACTAGCAGCTAACAAAATTCTAGTCTTCCAGGAAAAAAAAAAAACAGTTGTTCAGTGTAAACTACATTATTTGCAGTCGAGGCACAGAGAGCCATTCTTGTCAGAGAATGATGAAAACCCTCCCCAAATCCAAGTTCTCAGATAGCAGCCAGGGATCAACCTTATAAACAGGCCTTTTCTAAGGATAGCAGTTTTAGGACTGCTATGTTAATTCTTTTTTTTTGCACAATGGTATTAATAATTGTAAAAATTCAGAGTAAATGTTGCAAAAATATATACATTTCAAACAATATATAAATGACCTAACCGGTGATTGTTTTCAATATGAACAACAGTAATAAATATCTTCAGAAACTCTATGAAAGATGTTATTCACCCTAAAAACCAATAAACACTTTGTAAAGGAATTGGTTATATAACTATCTTGACCGAGTTACTTCTGTTCTCCAGGGTGAGTTTTACTTAAAACAGCAGGAATATATACCAAATGACTGCTATAGATTGATAAAGCATACAGACTGTAGGAAGTCAACCTAAAATAATCAGTAATATAGGCTAACTGGGAAAATTATTAGTGAGAAATTCTGGCATATTTTAAAAGAAAGAAAATTTGATTATTTTCAAGTAACTCATTATAGAGTGTTAAGTAGACATGGATAGATATATTAAGAGATTCTTTTGATATTGTGCTTAATGTCCATATAAAAATGAATGTTCGTGAGATGGTTGAAACTTATTATCAAAGTGTTTATACAATGTATTTATACTTTTCTTTTGACATACCCTTTCTTCCTAGCAGCGTAAGATCAGCTTCACCCCACTAATTGACAATGTGATAAATCACATGTGGGTGTTGTGCTGCTTTACTGGCAGTGATAGTAGAACCATGAGTTAATTGATATTAAGGAAAATGTAAATTGTGATGATCAAAGTGAGTCTATTTTAATTTGCTTTTAGTTGGAATTTTGTTGAAAATACACTCAATATATGGTTTGTTTGTGGTTAAACATGGTTCCTACACTTAAGAAAAATACCTGAGCATCAAAATAAAAATTGTCATAATGAATATAGCGGAATAATCTTTAGCTAAATATTCAGAAAAAGCCTCAAAGGTGGTGAAAATGTTAAAGATTAACACCAACAGTTAAAATGAGTTGATATGAAGACCTCAATAATAAGAGAGGGCACGGATCAGCGGTAGCACCAACGGAATTCTGACTGATGCAAAGCGTGTCTTCTGCATGCCCAGCACCTGCTCCCTTCTCTCCCACACTGAGTGCTACCGTGGGACGGATCCTGGCTTTAATCCCAGGTCCTGCATGCTGCCCTGCTTTCTGCCCCCACTCCAGTCATGGAGTTTTGTGTCTACACACCACCTCTGTTTGCCCTGTGACTCAGTTTTCACTTACTTAATGCATTTCTAACTTCTAGGATTGTTTTTGCACTTCAAGAACACAAGTTGAATCCCTCAGACCTGAAGCACAGTCTGACACCAGTGTCCACCAGTACTTGGTAAGAAGATGATCACTCTCGGCTCTCCAGATGTCTTTTTCTTTAGTGTTTTCTTATGCTTATTTTTCCTCCTGCTACTCTCCAAGAGTCTCTAATTGGCCTATTCTCCTCTTCCTAAGCCATCTCTCCCTATTGGTTGCACCTATTCCTATGGTCTTAGTTGCTCAGGTTTCAGGCTGTCTGAAGCAACTTCAGGTTTCCTGAAGGGACCCTGGCATTAGCAGAACTGATGCTTCTCACATTTTTACCTTTAAGCCAGACCTTTTCTTGGACTCCAGAAGTGTCTATAGAATATCTCTGATAGGATTGTTCAAAGGTATCTCTCCTCAGTTTGAGTAAAACCTTAATCTTCTCTCAAACCTCACCAACCCATTGCATTTCCTGCTTCAGCCTATGAAGGCCCATCTAAGATGTCATCCTCACTGGAAACTTTGGAGCTATCCTCATGCTGCCTTTGTCCCCATATTCATTATACACCAGGTTTTGTGAATCTGCCCCTCAAGTGCCCTGGAGCCCATCCTCTGTGTCCCACGAGCACAGCTGCCACTCTTGTCTCACATCCCTCAACTGGCCTGCTGCAGGTGGACTTGTGGCTCCTGGTCTCCTGGACACACAGCTTCCTCTCACCACTCACATCAGCATTCAGTACCACTGCCAACACAGGCTGTGTGGGTCACTCCAGTTTTAAAACTGCCACTGGCTTCCTAAGTCTGTGGGATAAAGTCTGAACTTCCTAGCATGATACAGAGGCTCTTCATGGCATAGAATATGTCTAAGTTTTGAGTTTCATTTCTTGTTACTGAGTCTGAACACATGCTCTTCTCTCTGCTTGAAATACCCTTCTTTCTTTTCTCCCTCTGAAATTCTTCCTCATCTGTGAAGCCTTTCCGCTCGTGCCTTTTAGCCTGTTGTGCTCCCTTATGACCTGGAATAAAATGGTTTTACTGTACTGACTCATGGTGACTGACGTGTATGTCTCCCTGACTGTAACCTGACTCCCTATGACAGTAGGCACCCTGTCTTGCTTCATCTCCCCTGGGCATGCCTGCTATATTAAATAATATTTAAAGGAACGTGCTTGGTATTTCTCTGGCATCTTTTTCTCCCCTTAATCTTTACTGTATACTGCAGTTTTTTCCTACGTAACAGAACTGCCTTGCAGATTCCTTATTTGCTACAAAATAAGGTAATTGCAGTTAATCCTTTTTATAATTTAACCCAGTCTTGTCTTCTGCTGTCTTATTTTTGTCATGCAGCTTCTTGTTATTTGCTAATACTCTGAAGACTTTTGTTACCTGCTCATTTATATAAGGTTGTAGTATCCAGCCTGAGTTTTAATTCAGGTAATGACCTTCAGGTTGAGGTAGTGAGATGGACAGTAAAGTGACTGTTGTCTCCATGCTAGAGAGAGAGAGAGAGAGAGAGAGAGAGAGAGGCCTAGAATTCAGGAAACTTCCACAGGTGTCTCTTAAATCCTCCAAGCCTCTAGGTTGGAGCCATTTTTTATTTTAAACAGCTAAATCTTGCATCTCTCCCTGTTAGTGGAGTTAGACTAAAATCTTGAGCGGGAAAAGTAAAGCATCATCTTTCTGGAGTCTCTTGAGGAGAAACACTTTGGAGAAGTCGTGTAATGAAAACTGACACCAGCTGGAAACTGGTGCCTGATAACTAGAAAAACCTTTCTGGGCTCTCCCAGAGTCTTGCTTAAAAGCGCCATCCATTGCCTTTGGTTTGGGCACCTTTAGCTCTCCGTGGGCCTGAGCTCTGTAGACAGGATTGCATTTTATGTTAAAACACTAGGTTTGAAGGACAGTCTGGTTTTCCAAGAGACTTGTGTCTCCTATAACTTTGGAATCCCCTCTATCTGTAGAAAACCCATTTTCTCTCATTAACTTTTGCAAATGAAAGGCTATGATGGTTTGAATTGAGATGTTGCTTTTAAAAGTAATGCAGCTTTAGCATTGCAATGATTCATGAAAGGCCACCTCATCCAGTTTCCAGCCCATGAAGGGAGTATTCTCTGCAATATCTCTGAGATTTAACTGTAGAAATTTAAGTAAAAGTGTTTCATCAATACCTGGGTACACACCCGTAATCCCAGCTGCTCGGGAGGCTTAGGCAGAAGGATCACCTGAGCCCAGGAGGTCGAGGCTGTGATGAGCTGTGATCGTGCCACTGCGCTCCAACCTGGGCGACAGAGTGAGACCCTGACTCAAAATAAAAAATAATAATGATAAAAAATAAATGGGCCAGGCGCGATGGCTCAGCCTGTAATCCTAGCACTTTGGGAGGCTGAGGCAAGAGGATTGCCTGAGCCCAGGGGTTTGACACCAGCCTAGGCAATTTGGGGAGACCTCGTCTCTACAGTAAATCACAAAAACTAGCTGGGCATGGTGGTGTGCATCTGTAGTTCCAGCTACTTGGAAGGTTGAGTTGGAAGAATTGCCTGAGCCCAGCAGGTCGAGGCTGCGGTCTCTACAATAAATCACAAAAACTAGCTGGGTATGGTGGCGCACATCTGTAGTTCCAGCTACTTGGAAGGCTGAAATGGAAGGATTACCTGAACCCAGCAGGTCGAGGCTGCAAGTGGCTGAGAGCATGCCACTGCACTCCAGCCTGGGCGACAAGAGTGAGACTCCCACTCGTAAATAAATAAATAGATAGATAGATAGATAAGCATGCTCCATCCTAGAAAGTAATGATCCAGAAAGCTTGGTTTTACCACAAGTAAAAATCTGGCGGGATCTCTCTGAAAACACCTCAGAGTGCTGCTCACTGACCTGGTTATTGAATCATGCTGTGGAGTGTTTTCCCAGCCTCTCAGGAGCTGGATTCAGTCAGCAGACCTAGAGTGGATCCATGCTTCAGCATCAAATCCACATCAAGCAAGCACATTAGGCTGACTTATAGCCCATTCTGCCAGTGTCAGGGGAACTAATGCCCTTCCGCTGCATCATCAACTGCTCTCTCCTTAGATCAAGTTCCATGGGAAACAAGATTTTAAGTAGAAGCAGGTTAGCCAGGTACAGTGGCTCACGCCTGTAATACCAGTGCTTTCAGAGGCTAAGACAGGAGGATCCCTTGAGGCCAGGAGTTTGAGGCCAGCCTGGGCAACATAGTGAGACACCTGTCTCTACAAAAATAAAAAAAATTAGCCAGGAGTGGTGGCACACCCCTGTAATCCCAGCTACTTGGGAGGCTGAGGCGGAAGGATTGCTTGAGCCCAGGTATTTAAGGCTACACTGAGCTGTGATTGCACCACTAAACACTGGCTTGGGCAACAGAGCAAGACCCTGTTCTAAAAAAAAAAAAAAAAATAGAAACAGTTTAATTTATAATGGAAAACTGATGTCAGCTGTAAAAGTACTTAAAATTCATACTGCAGTACTTTATTTTGCTGTAAGAAGACATTTGTGGGCATCAAGTCTCTTTCTAGCTTTCTGTTTGCTAACTATTCACTTCCAGTTCTTGGCTGGACCTCCTTGGGCCTCAGGTACTGTCCATAGGAGCCATCTGGCCTCATGGCACCAGTTCCTGCAAATTCACCAGAACTGAAATCTGCATTTTGTAGCTTCTCTCTGTTCTCAGCTCTATTCTCCAAACAGAATTGTATTTACCTTTCTACATTTGTCTTTTATTTACACAAAAATGGCAACTATATAGTCTTAATATTTTCCTTTCCAGATCAAGCATTTTCAGTTCCTTCAGTGTTGCCAGAAGCTTTGCCAGCCTGGCTGGCCTCTCCATTTTGCAGTATCCCTCTTAGGTGGTGGTGTCTTGATTTTCCGTGGTGTGCCAGATACTGACTCATCGTTTCAGAATACCATGAGCTGCCTGTCTTCTCCGGCTGCTTACTTGGCTTCTGTAAATGCAACTCGATATTGTGCTTTGACTTAACCCTTCCTGTCCATACTGTTGACTGAAGCATCAAGGTCATAAACCTGGTATCCTCAATTTTGTATTTAGGTCACTGATTGTTTTTAACTTAAGTGTGAGATTTTGCATTTATCCCTGTAAAACTGCACTGACCCAGGCCCCTTCTTAGTTGCTCAAGATGATGTGAGTCCTGCTGTGTTCTTTGAGGGATAAGCTGTGCCTAGCAATGCATAGTCCATAACAGTTTTTTAAAAGCAGGCCTCCTGCATTTTCAGGACGTATTAAGTTTAATAGAACAAGGACAAGAATGCTGCCAGAATTTGTGCTTTCTAATTCTCTAACCAGATATCAAGTGACAAGGAGAAATGAGGTTGGTTTGGGTGCCTTACCTTAACAAGCCTGTGTTGCCTTCCTGTGATCGCCATGTCGCTTTCTCAAGTGCCCACAGTTCATCTGCCTGATAATCAGATCCCAGGCTTCATTGGGCAGCAGCATCAAGCTTGTCCCTTTGTTATCGTCTCCCTGTTCGAAAATTGGGTCAGTGTTTGACTGTTTCCTTTCTGGTTTCTCATCTGAATTCTGCCACATTTGTACACTTCATAACCTCAATGCAATTTTCCTAACCTGGAAATTTGAACATGTTTAAAACAACCTGTTTGGAGTTTTGAATACTTAACAACATCATCGTCTCCTCTGGTTTAAAGCAGACTCTTTCCCTAATGGAATAGATAGAAGATAGGGGCTGTTGAGCTCTGACTTCAGCCCATCACCTGGTATGTGATGCTCTTTTCAGAGTAAACTGTCAGCCTAAGCCATTATGGCTGAAGCCTTCCTGATAGGCATACAGGCCAGTATCACTTTGAAATTTTAAAAAAATTGTGATATGCTCTTTCTGTCTCTTATGTGGGTTCTTTATCTGAGTTTATCTGAAGACTACCCGTTCTAAATAAATTAAATTGATTTCCTTGGATTCTCATCTCATTGGGATTATCTCCAATTGTGTGGTAGAATTTCTTTACATTCTTCTTGTTCCTCTTGAACAATATTCACCTCTATTCATCTGTAGCCATGGCTTATAATTATTTTCCTTCGCTCTCTTAAAAGGTTAGGGAATATAGAATCCTTCTGTCACTCTTTCCAACTCCATCTCTTTCTTCTGATTAAAAAGATCAAGCACGTGGTAATGACACACCCCCCCCACCTTGGAGGCTTAAGGCGATTCCTGCTACCTGCTGGTGCTTATAAAGGCTCTTGAGTGTCCTAGAGTGTTAGCTTCTTTGGGGAGACTGGAAGCTGGGGGTGTGGGCCTCCTCCTTCTCAGGCATGCATGCTATCTCATTGCCGCCATATTTGGGTACAAGCCCGAGACCCCCTCCACACACCCCACGAGACTCACATCGTTCTCTCAGGAGCTCTGTTGTACCCTGTCCTCCCACCTCCTCAGGTTTCCTTCTCTTTCTGACCTCCCTTCTGATTCATTTCATCTTGTAAAACACCTTCATCAATAGTTTTAGTGGGCTGCAGTATGGAAACTGTTCCGACTGTTAACACTTCCAGGAGCAGAGTGTGGGCCTCGAATGGGATGTAGGTGTAGCTGCAGCCATCTGAGGCAAGAGCATAAGCGTGAGTCCCGTGTGGGCCCCTGCAGCCTTCCCATGATGCTCTTCCCAGATGCCCCAAAGAGTTAACAGCCCTTCTTAGTGTCTCCTAAGTGTGTTTCTGGATGATGTTGGAAGGCGTTCTTACCATCTATAAGCCAGCTTTTCCTCCCTCTCCCCCTTTATAAGCTGATGGCTTTCTAGTAACATCAATAAGCAGTGGGTAAATTCCTTTTGGATCTGAAAGCAGTCTCATAAGCCCCCTGCAGTGCCTTCCTAGAGAACACCTATGTGTTGGAAACTACTCAGCATTTTATGTTGGAGGAGTTTTATCCCTGTTTTGTTTTCATCTTTTAAAAAAATGCAGGTGGATGAGCCCACTTATTCCTGGTCACCTCCATCCACCAGAGCCAATGAAGTGATATGTTCCACCTCCGTCTCTCACTATGAGCTCCAAGTGGAAATAGGTAATAATCCTGGATTTCACACAATTGACCCTTCATTGCTAGAAATGATGTTGATGACAAAAATATTATTGTGCAGGCAAACCTTTTTTGTAGTCACCTACAGCATAAAACTTGACACTCATTGTGTCAGTCAAATGGATTCAATTCATTTTATGTCTATCTTAAAATAATATTGACCCAGATTTTTTTCAAGATTATTGTCTATAATTTTCCACAAGTACATTTAGAGGAGAAAGACATTAATCTAAATGTAAATCTTTTCATTCACAGTCCTTTAACTAAACTGTTTTTTAATTTAAAAATTTACCTAAGCTGGGCACAGTAGCTCACACCTGTAATTCCAGCCGAGGGGATTATTTTGGGAGGCAAAGGTGGGAGGATTACTTGAGCCCAGGAGTTTGAGACCGGCCTGGGCAACATAGCAAAACCTTGTTTCTACAGAAAAATTTTAAAATTAGCCAGGCATGGTGGCATATACCTGTAGTCCTAGCTACTTGGGAGGCTGAGAAAGAGGGATCATCAACCCGGGAGGTCGAGGCTATGGTGAGCCATGATTGTGTCACTACACTCTAGTCTGGGTGACAGAGTGAGACCCTGACTCAAAAACCAAAAAAAGACCCTGAATTCCCATTTGTAATAGAAACCTTTTAAGTGTGGAACAGGATGGGTGATTGTTTATAGCTTTCTATATGTGAACCATTCACTTTGCATATTCAGAGACCTCTCATAAACACTACAAACCAGTGACTATATTAGGGCTAGGGATACAAAGCAACACAGAACATGTGAGGGGTTCATGGCATCTTTGGGAAGATGAACACACAAGGTAGCTTTGTTGTGTTCACTAGAGGGGTGCAGCAGTAGAGGTGTGTGCCAGGTATTATGGGAGCAGAGAAGATGGAGCAGCCAGCCACCTCTAAGAGTCAAGAAAGATGGACAAGGGGCTGAACCCTGAAGAAGGAGGGAAAGCGTGCTAGATATTTTAGCCGTGGTTTTGTTGCAAACAACAGAAAACAACTCTGGCTAATTTCAGCAAAAAGAATTGTTGAGCAGTGTTGCTACCTCACTAGAACTGTTGGCTGGAGAAATAGGCTTGGAAGAAACCAAGAGAAGCCAAGTGGTGGGACCAGGACTGTAGGCCAGGAGCAGCCGTGTTGGGGCGCTGCCTGGTAGGGTGCTCCCACCACCACAGTGGAACCCGTGAGGTGAATTCTGGCCACCTCTGCTTCTGTCTGTTCCTCTTTCCATCCTCCAATTGGCCATGCTTTGGTCACATGCTAGAATCAAGGGGACTAAGGGACAGTAAGGATCTGACCTTTTGTAAAATAGCACATCATGGCAAATTTCTCCAAACTAGCAAGGAGGTTCTGACGGTGCCAGTCCTGAAAGGGTAAAACCTGTTGACATTGGGAAGAGGCTACAGGTGTGAACAGGGGTGAGTAGTGGGGTGAAACACTGTGAGGGGCTTCACAGAGGATAGTAAAAGTTCACCCTTTCCTGCCTTAACACTCAAAGGATTTACGGCAGAAGTTTGGAATTTGTTGCCTTTATGCTAGAGAGACATTGTGAAATAGAGATAATGGTAATAATAGCATCGAAAAGGCTCCATGCTGAACATTTGATAGGCATTTTTTTCCTCTGACCCTTGGCCACTCCCATTGTGCAGATGAGAATACTGAGGCTCTGAGCAGTCACAGAGCTCGTGATTTGAAACCAGGTGTTTCTGGCTCTGGGTCTAAGCTCTCAGCTGCTGTACTGTAGGACCCCCCTGTTAAAATGCCAAATTTAGACCAACTCTGGCAGTGGTCTGGAAGACATGACAGATCAGTGACGCACAACCCGAGAGATCATGCTCATTACCCTTTTAGAAAGCAGCAGTGACATCACAGCTCCTGGGTCCGAATTCCTGGGGCCTGGCATTTTGAAGCAGGCTCCTCAGCAGCTGTGCTGTGTGTCCCTGCTGAGAACGTACAGCATGCGGAGGCAGGCAGGGCACTGTGCATATCCACAGAGAGAGGACAGGACTTGAACTGAGGCAGTGATGCTGACACTGGGAAGGAGGAGATGAATTGAGATGACCTTCATTTCAAAGATAAAACTGACAGAATTTGGTGACTGTGGCGAGAGGGAGGGAACTAACATTCATTAGGTGCCTATGAATAGGTGCCACCCTAGAGTAGGTGTTTCACATTTAAAAAACCACCAAGACCAAATGCTAGTGAATGCCAAGCAGCTGCAGCTCTCACACGTTGGCAGGATGCAAAATGGTTCAGACACTTTGGAAAACAAGTTGGCAACTTCTAAGGTTACACTTGCATTCACCACATGACCCAGCAATCCCACTCTCACGTATTTGCCAAAGAGAAATGAAGATAAATGTCTGCTTAAAAGCAGTTTACTTACCATTATCAAGAACTGAAAGTAACCCAAATATCCATCAGCCTTATGAATACGTCAATGAGTTGTAGTACAGTGTATCCATACGACAGTTCATTACTGGGCAACAGAAAGGAACTCTACTCCTGAGATGAAGTGGTGAATCTCAGAGGCAGGTGCTGAGGGAAGGAAGCCAGATACGAAAGACTCTCTTCTTGATACTATTTAGATGACAGAAATCAGATCAGTGGTTGCCAGGGCCCAGGAGTGGGCAGGTAATTGCTGAATGGCACTCCATTGTTGTATTATATCGCAATTTGTTTACTAAGGCACAGTCTTAATTACTGTAATAGTGTATGGTGTCCCATTGCTATCATTTGCTTCTCTGTCTTGAGCTCCTTTTCATATGTTATTCTCATGTTTTATTTTGTGGATTTCCAATTTAATCTTCAGCCTATTTTTTAAGAATTGCTTGATAAGTATTGGTAATGCTTTCAGTCAGTAGCTTGCCCTCTCGTTTTCTTAACAGTATTTTTTGAAGAAGTTTCCCATTTTGGTGCCAGCTGTTCACGCTTTCCTCCTTTGGTTTCTGACCTGAGTTTTATGTCTGATTATAGGGAGAGGATTTGACAACTTGACTTCTGTCCATCTTGCCCGTCATACTCCCACAGGAACACTGGTGACGATAAAGGTTACAAATCTGGAGAACTGCGATGAAGAACGGCTGAAAGCTTTGCAGGTAATAAGTTGAAGGTAGTGATGGATCTCTGTATCCGTGGCTCCACATCTGCAGGTTCAGCCAACTGTGCTTAGAAAATATTTTAGATGAATAATAAGTAATGATACAACAATAAACATAATAGAAATAAACAATATAGTAACACGACTAGTTACATAGCATTCACAGGGTACTAGGTATTGCAAGTCATCTAGAGAGGATTTAAAGTATCCAGGTGTGTGCAGGTTATATGCAAACACTGTGCCAGTTTATGTCATGGACTCGAGCATCCATTGTTTTGGTGTCCTTGGGGAATCCTGGAACTCATCTCCCACTGACACCGAGGGATGATTGTATTTAATGTAATGTCTATTTGAGGCGATTACATCGGTAAAGAATTTTCCCCACATGAATAGTTCTTCCTGTGAGGGAGAGGTGGGTTTCTTTCTTGTAATTAACTTACAGTTAATAGGATTGGAAAGAATACTTGGAAGCCAGACCCAGTATGTGAAAGAAAAAATATATTCACACTTTGTTAACTGTTCTTACTTCCTTCAAATGATTATCATGTTGCAAATACCAGTCTGGAGATTGACAACACCCTGGTCAGGTCAGTCCATGCACCAAGAATCACACAGGGAAATAGAAGCCAAGGCAAACAGTTTCCTTTTCATCAAGTTCAGCAAAATTAACTTCTGAATTGATTAATGTTGACTGCATTGCATTTTAGGTGTATTGTAATACCATTTTGATTGTCACTGATCATTTTTTATATCAAGGGGGGAAAGTTTTGTTTTGATATTGTTCTAATTTTTAAGATATTTATATATGCACATGTATATCACACAGAAAAAATTACTGGGAGCAACTATACCAAAATGTTAACAGTGATTCTTCCTGAGGTTGTGTTAGAAAGCATCGTGTTTTCACATTTTCAGATGTCTTTAAATGTTTCTGTAATAAGAACATCATATAATTACTATGATTATGACCTCTGGAGTTGGACTGTCTAAATTCACATTCCTTCCACTTTTTATTCGTGACATGCCTTTGGATAGGTTTGCCAACTTATTTCTAAGTGTCGTCTTCTGTAAAATGGGAATCATAATATCCCAGGCTTCATGGGGTGGTTGTGAGATTTAAACAGGTGAAAGCTCTAAGAACGGCACTTAAAATTAACAAGCTCTCTTGTGTATTAGCTGCATCCACTGCTGTTGTCATTGTGAGGAAAAAAAAGATTGTTTTTAAATGTCTTGGTCTTGTGTGTTCATCCTAGAAAGCAGTGATTCTATCCCACTTCTTCCGACATCCCAATATTACAACTCACTGGACAGTTTTCACTGTTGGCAGCTGGCTGTGGGTCATTTCTCCATTTATGGCCTATGGTAAGAAAACAAATTATAAATGAAACAACCTATCATTTTGCCTGGATGTGATCATTATAAAGATGAGGACGATCTTAGATTTATAATTTACAACTTTTAATGTATAAATCTAATGACTTATTCTAGATTTCATGAGATATTTCTCCATCTGGTACATATGAGTTGCAGTCTCCAGAAAAGGTAGAATGGGCATGATGACAGTGAACTGCACTGCTTCCCCAGGAATTCCACACTTCTGCACAAGCTGACTCCCTTCAGGGACCTTCTTCTCTCCCAGGAGGAACTACTGTTATCTTGCAGGAGGAGGTCGTTTTTCCATCTGAGCACCCTGTGCCTGTCCCTGTTACATGGCATTATAAACTTACTTCACGGTGTTGTAAACATCTGTGTGCACACATCTCCCTCCCTGGACTTGTGCTTCTTTTTTTTTTTTTTAGTTGGAGTCTCACTTTGTTGCTCAGGCTGGAGTGCAGTGGCACACTCATGGCCACCCCCGCATCGACCTGCTGGGCTCCAGCGATCCTTCTGCCTCAGCCTTCCAAGTAGCCGGAGCTATAGGCGCATGCTACCGCGCCTGGCTAATTTTTGGTTTATTGTAGAGACGCGGTCTCGCCAAGTTGCCCAGGCTGGTCTTGAACCCGCAGGCTCAGACAGTCCACTCGCCTCAGCCTCCCAAAGTGCTGAGATTACAGGCTGAGCCACCAAGCTCGGCCCTGAATTTGTGCTTCTTAAGGGCCAGGATCATTTATATATTTTTCATTTTGGGTCTTCAGGTGCTCACATGGTACCAGACAAAGTAGTGTTCAATACATGTGTTGAGTAAGTAAGTGAATTGACTCCGGTGCTTTGATTTTTAGGACAATTTTTATAAATTACTTCTGAATTTTAAAAAGGCTGGGCCTGATGGCTCATGCTTATAATCTCAGCACTTTGGGAGGCTGTGGCCAGAGGATTGCTTGAGCCCAGGAGTTCGAAACCAGCCTGGGTAACATAATGAGACCCTGTCTCTACAAAAAAATTAGCCAGGCATGGTGGTGTACATCTGTAGTCCCAGCTACTCAGGAGGCTGAGATGGAAAGCTTGCCAAGCCCAGGAGGTCAAGGCTACAGTGAGCTGTAATCATGCCACTGCACTCCAGCTTGAGTGACTGAGTGAGACCTCAACTCAAAAAAAATTATATACATACACACACACACACACGGATACACAGTTGTATTTTAATAATACTGAAAATTGTTCATTCTCTTTTCTGATCTCTAAAGTGTCAGAAGAAAAAAATCTTTAAAGATTCTTGATGGAAAATCACCTTTGCGTGGGGAAGTGGTTAGACTCCAAAAAGCAACAAATATGGGGGTGGCAAATGGTTGAAAAGAGTATGAAAGCACAGCTGGAAGCAGAATCACTTGCAGTGTTCATCTAAGATCTCAGGGGTTTCTTTCAGGTTCAGCAAGTCAACTCTTGAAGACCTACTTTCCTGAAGGAATGAGTGAAGCTTTAATTAGAAACATTCTCTTTGGAGCAGTGAGAGGTTTGAACTATCTGCACCAAAATGGCTGTATTCATAGGTATTTACTGAATTGTATTTTACAAAATGAGAAAATTGTAATGGAAAAAATCTTTTAGGGAGCTTTCAGGAGGAGCCATTGAGTGAGAGAAGAGGAGAGGGACAGGAAACTCGTGAGTGAACTGTGAGGCGGGAGGGGCTGTTGATGCAGTGGATCAAAAACATTCACACTGTGTCCTCTGTGTTAAGCACCATGCCTGGTGTAGGGTGGGATGCCCACCCTCACGGAGCTCAGAGTCTCTGTCTAACAAGGGATGTAAGAACCTGTGTGTTCCAGGACAAGCTGTAGGAAATGGGACCCAAGGTAGCTGGTTGGATTTTTTTTTTTTTTTTAGTAAATAAGGAGATTCTTTATGTGCTTTCAGCATATATTTATATCATGTACAAATTGTAATTTAGCGTTTCTTTGATCGCTTATATATTTTACAGCACCGTGAGATTATCACTTGTTACCAAACTCTAGATGCAAAAATCATGGACTGAATGACTAAAAATTAATTAATTAAGTCACGTTTAAATAAACTTACTTTCTCACTGTTTGTTTCAATCTCCTTAAAGCTCTTTTTCTTAGTATTTGTTGTTTCTCAGTGGAATCCTGGTTAATTGAGGATTTCCCACGCACTGTATTCTACTTAGTCGACGTTTTATTATATGTTACCAGACTTTTGGCCATCCTCCTTACTGTTGGTTTCCAAATTCAGTGTTTTGGATGAAAAAACAAGGTTCTTTGTAATCTAACAATTTTTAAAAATTATTATGTAAGACTTATCTTTGGAAATGATGCTATACCATGAGAAGCTTTTATTGGGTAGTATTGCATTTAACTTTAAATTATAACCTATGCTTCAAGTATTATTTGAGGTTTTTTTAGCTTCTCCTTAGGTGTTTTGCAACAGCGTTCTAAAATCGTGAAATTAGTAGTTTGATACTATTCCTTGTTTGAAAAAAACATCAGTTCCAAACATATAGCCTTCAGCTCTATTTTTCCTTGTTCCAGAGCTATGTTGAATAGCTGAACAAGGTCCTTGATTCCCTGAACCTTTCCCATGTGCTTAGCAGTGTATACTGCTGTCTAAAAGGGGGTGTTGCATTTCCAAGAGAACACATGGATTTGTTCTAACCAGATTTGTGTTCTTTCTTCCTTGGCTAGTTTCCTAGCACTTAGGATTGTTTCTTTTTGTTCTAGGAATATTAAAGCCAGCCATATCCTCATTTCTGGTGATGGCCTAGTGACCCTCTCTGGCCTGTCCCATCTGCATAGTTTGATTAAGCATGGACAGAGACAGAGAGCTGTGTACGATTTCCCACAGTTCAGCACATCTGTGCAGCCGTGGCTGAGCCCAGAACTACTGAGACAGGTCAGGTGTGACCGTGGCATTGGGTTGTCTGTGTCCCAAGTGTCTTCTGAGTCTGACTACAGGACAGTTGTGTACTTATATTTGGGATTGGTCAGTGACCTAATGCAAGACTTTTCTCTTTCTTGTCAAAATTATGTTAAGAATTTTGAATTATATACCATATATTAGGGGTATCTTGATTTCTTGCTTATTGGCTTTTTTCCATTATTGTTTACCATCCTTTATCAAGAGAGCTTATGTGTGTAACTTTTGGTTAAGTTGTTTGCACTAAAGGACCTCAAATTAATTGTGTTCTGCAGGATTTACATGGGTATAATGTGAAGTCGGATATTTACAGTGTTGGAATCACAGCTTGTGAATTAGCCAGTGGGCAGGTACCTTTCCAGGACATGCATAGGACGCAGGTCAGTGTTACTAAAATCCTTGAGCTGCTTACTTTTCTTATGAAATGCTGGGTAATTTCTGTTAAACATGTTTGCTGTAGAGTCTTCATATTTTCCTGTAATGGATTGAAGAGCATTTCTCTTTCTTTTAGATGCTGTTACAGAAACTAAAAGGTCCCCCTTATAGCCCATTGGATGTTGGTGTTTTCCCTCAGTCAGAATCCAGAATGAAAAACTCTCGATCAGGTGTAGACTCTGGGATTGGAGAAAGCGTCCTTGTCTCCAGTGGAGCTCACATAGTGAACAGTGACCGATTACACACGCCGTCCTCAAGGACCTACTCTCCTGCCTTCCTTAGCTTGGTACAGCTCTGCTTGCAACAAGATCCTGAGAAAAGGTAATACTGATCTCTTCCAAATAGCACAAGACATATATGTTTCAGATTTATAGATGCTTTGTGATATTAGCCTTCCTGTGATACTCAAATCCTTTTATAAATATTTTGATAAAAGAATTATAGTCAAATCTAGAAAATATCAATATGAAGAATAAGCAGAGGCAATAAACAGATGGGAAGGATGCTGGATTCAAAACCCAGGCTTGGCTGTGCCATTTCTAGCCAATTTATAAAAATCAGTGATTCTTTCTGGACGTTAATTACCATATTTATGTTAAGACATTTTAGTAACTTCCCAGCAGTATAAAAATATAAGGTACTGCCATTATACGAATATAAATTATTGTCATAGGTAACTATATATTAACTTTACTATGCTGGAACAAGGTATGCATCTCAGACGTATCTTTTTCAGCCCCTCAGCACCTGGCTTAGTTCCATGATGAATAGCATGTGTCTAGTAAATGTTGAGTATGGATGAATTAAAGGATGTGTCTAGAGTTCATTCTTCCCATTAGTCAAGGTTGGAGCTGAAATTGGGCTTCTTACATATATTCTTTTTCTTTATAATTTTTTAGCATTGAGTGTTATAGCTCTAAACCTAATTTCTAATCTATTTACACACCTAAAATCTATATTCTAATATAAGCTTCTTTTTTTTTTAATATAACTTTTTAAAACAATTTCAGGCCATCTGCAAGCAGTTTATTGTCCCATGTTTTCTTCAAACAGGTGAGCCGATCTCTCGTCTGTTGTCTAGACGTTTTTAAATACTATTAGAAAGTCGATTCATTTTGTTGGCTTGATAGGATACTATGGTTACCAAGATTCTTAATAACTTTCTTGTACAATAAAGTTAAAAACAAAGAAACTTTTTTGGTAGTTTAATTAAGACTAAGATATTTCCATTGTGCAAAACAAAACGAGTTAAAACCAAACTAGATTATTATCATATAATCAGTGTATATTTTGATTAATTTAGGGACTTTTTTTATGTTGGCTAGAAATGATGAAAGGGCCAAATAATTCTGATAAAAATTCATTTATTTGACTCTTCCTGTTTTCAGATGACCAGAATCAAAGGCATAAAACCCATTTTAAGCACATGTACTATGATTGCTTTACAAGTTATTTATTGCTGGCAACACTGGCATATTGAATGCATGTGCCAGCAACCTCACTCTGAGTTTCTTTGACAGTTGAAGGAAGAAAGCCAGGATTCGATACTTGCCCTGCTGCCTCCTGCTTACAATAGACCCTCAGTGTCCCAGCCACCTGTGTCACCGTGGACTGAGCTGGAATGTGACTTTCCTGATGACAAAGATGTAAACTGGGAATTCTAGGGCTGCCAAATCACTATGTCCGACATACTTGACACTTTCTCCTTGCTGCTTTTTCTTCTGTTTTGCTCGGTACAAGTACCAGAATTATACTTGAAATCACAGTGGGTGCACTGGAGAATTTTTTATTTAAAACCACTCTGTTCAAAGGGGCATGAGCTTATAGCCCCTCCAGTTAACTTGGAATGACTCAACTCCAGGGAAACCTCGGAATGACTCTTCTCGCTACAGTCAGTGTCATCTGTTCTTGAATTTTTTTCCCAAGCTGTGACTAACTCCACTCTTGATCTCTCAGTGTAATTTTTGAGCCAGTTAATTTTTTCGGGATTTTGCTGTTGTCTTGGGAATGAGCCCTCAGAAGATGGTGCTTCCAAGTACATCTTTGTCTTCCAGATCCTCTAGCCTTTTTGATAACTATTTTAAACCAACAGACTAGTTTATTCTGGCACCAAACCCTTTTTTTGGTAAAAGGGAAAATATTTATACTTTTCTTTTTTCTTCTGATACTTGTGGTAACATCAAACTGAGCCTCACTCACAGTAAATGATTCACTTGAAATACATAGAGAAGTTGAAATTTGGTTTTTCTTTTTTTGAAACAATGGAAGCTTATTAAAGTAACTTTTCTACCTATGTAAATTATATATTCTAAATTCATGCACCCCTGGGAGCACAATAAAGATTTATTGAATTGAGTTTATGCTTTTATTTATTTTTCTTGTGTGGACAAGGAAAGCTTGTATTTTGACAAAGCTTAAATACAGATTCTCATTTGTTTTGCCAAGCAAAGCCCTTTCTCAAACAGTTTGTTTCATTATTTATTTACATAAATAAGTAGTGATTTGGGTGCAACCTGGTATTTGATTCTATGAGGGCAGGAGGTATTATTGATTGGTCATTGCTTCTGTAGGGGATACAAAACTGAGGACATTGAGGTCTTAACTAATGGTATTTCCTAATTAGCAAGAGAGAGAATGCTATGTCTCAAAAAGAGGATGTCATTGGAGCTGTGTTGAATTAGGACCTACCTTAGTTGACTTTCTTCATCTGTACTATCTTATTTACATTATATTAAAAGTTATTTTAAAATGTTTGCTTAACACTAAAAGCCCAAAACAACTAATACGCAAATTAATAGGCACTGTTAAACATAATTCTTTTCATGTTTATTGGCTAGACCTGCTCAAGAATGAAGGTTTTGGGCTACGACATCAATTAAGCCACCAAGACCCACCAAGATGAAAGAAGTTAGAATGGGCAGTGGGGGAGGGAGAGGATGAGGACCAGTTGAGACCTGAGAGCAACTGCTGTGGTGGGGGCTGTAGTTCATCCCACTAACCTCCCCGTTCTGACTGGCCCCTCAGCAAGAGAGGCCCATAGAAACCTTAGAAGTTCTCCTAGTGCAAAAGGTGAACCATGAAACAGCCTACTGTGGGCATGTTAAGGTGCTCCAGAGAAACAGCCAATAGGATGTGTGTGTATATAATATGCATGTATTATATATGTAATATAGATTTATTATGAGGAGTTTGCTCACACATTTGTAGAGGCTGACAAGTCTGGAGGTCTGCTGGGGGAGTCAGTAAGCTGAGACCCAGGAGAGCTCATGGTATGGTTCCAGTTCAAAGTTAGGCTCAAACCCAGGGAGAGCTGAAGTTGAGCCAAAGGCAGGGAAAAGCCAATGTTTCTATTCATTAAATTAAGTTATTTTAGCTGGGTGCGGTGGCTCAGCCTGTACTCCCAGCACTTTGGGAGGCCAAGGTGAGGATTGCCTGAGCCCAGGGGTTCAAGACCATCCTGGGCAACTTGGTGAGACTTCGTCCCTACTATAAGTCAAAAAATAAGCCAGGCGTGTAGCACATGCCTGTAGTTCCAGCTACTTGGAAGGCTGAAGTGGAAGGATCACCTAAGCCCAGCAGGTGGAGGTTGTGGTGGCATGAGTGTGCCACTGCACTCCAGCCTGGACAACAGAGTGAGACTTCAACTAAAAAAAAATTTATTTTAAAATGATTGTCTTAAGACTCAAAACGTAAAACCAGAAAGACAAATAATACACAAGTTAATAGGCAGTTTTAAATGTAATTCTAATCACAATTCTTTATACAAGCAGGCAGGAGGAATTCTCTTTTACTTGGTGGAGGTCCAGCCTTTTTGTTCCATTCAGATCTTCGATTGACTAGATGAGGTCCACCCCCATGTTAGGACAATCTGGTTCAATCAGTCTCCCAATTTAAATGTTAATCTCATCCAAAAATACCCTCACAGAAATACTAAGAATAATGTTTGATCAAGTATCTGAGTACTTGAGTACATGAGTAGCCCAGCTGACTCATAAAATGCACTATCATAGTGGGGTACTGAAACAGATGGCCTCACCCTGCACGTGGGGGCTTGTATAAATGTGCTATCCTAGGCATCTTGTTTGTTGTATTTTCTGTGGCTGCTGTAACAAATTGCCACAAAGTGGCTTAGGCATCATGCATTATTATTTTGCAGTTCTCATTCAGGTAAACAAGGGTTTCACAGGGCTGAGATGAAGGTGCTGGCAGGGCTGCCTTCCTTCTGGAGGCTCTGGAGGGGAATGTATCTCCCTGGCCCTCCCAGCTTTTAGAAGCTGCTCACTCCCAGATTTTAAACTCTATTATAAAGCTACAGTAATCAAGACAGCCTGGTATTGGTACAAGAACAGGCACATAGACCAATGGAACAGGATAGAGATTCCAGAAGCAAAATCTCAATTTCTCATCTTCGACAAAGCCTCCACCACCAACCACTGGGGAGAGGAGAATCTATTCAGTAAATGGTGCTGGGGAAACTGGCTGACCACATGCAGAAGATTAAAACAAGATCCCCACCTATCACCATACACAAAGATCAACTCTAAATGGATCAAAGACCTAAATGTAAAACCTCAAACTATAAGAACCTTAGAAAATGCAGGAGATACCCTTATGGAATATGGAACTGGCAACCAATTCCTGATCAGAATCCCAATGCCCATATCATAAGAGAGAAGATAGACCAGTGGGACCTCATCAAACTGAAAAGCTTCTGCAAAGCCAAAGAAACCATCAAGAGAGCGGGGAGACAGCCCACAGACTGGGAAAAAATATTTGCCAGTCTGACAAAGGCCTAACATCTAGGATCTACAAGAAACTCAAACATACTGAAAAGAAAAATACAGCCCATTACAAAGTGGGCAAAAGATATGAATAGACACTTCTCAAAAGAATATATACCAACAGTCTATAGATACATGAAAAAATGCTCAGCCTCACTACTCATCAAAGAACAAAGAAATGCAAATTAAAACCACACTGAGATACCACCTAGCTCCAGTCAGGATGGCTATCAATAACTCAAAAAACAGATGCTAGAGATGATGTGGTGAAAAGGGAACATTTCTACACTGTTGGTGGGAGCGTAAACTAGTACAACCTCTGTGGAAGACAGTGTAGCGATTCCTAAAAGATCTAAAAATCGACCTTCCATACGACCCTGCAATCCCCCCACTGGGAATATACCTGGAAGAACTCAAATCACTCTATAAAAAAGATACCTGCATACGTATGTTTATCACAGCATTATTCACAGCAGCAAGAACGTGGAACCAATCGTGCTATCCATCAAGAGGACTAGATTTTTTAAAATGTGGTACATATACATGATGCAATATTACACAGCCATAAAAAAGAACAAAATCGTGAACTTCACAGCAACCTGGATGGACTTAGAGTCTATAATACAGAGTGATCTTTCACAAAAACAAAGAACTGAGTATCACATGTTCTCACTCATAAGTGGACCCTGAACAATTATCATAATACTATAAGAAAAGCATTGGCAGTAGCGGGAAACTGCCAGGAGGGAAGCGGGGAAGCAGGATTGGCAGTAGAGGGAATTTGCCTGGGGAAGGGTGGTCACACCTCATTAACAAGGGTACCTGCATAATGAACATTTGTATACCTAACCCTAAAGCATACCCCACATCTTTAAAAAAAAAATTGAAAAAAAGAAATAAAACTGTCAGCATTAAATAAATAAATAAATAAATAAATAAATAAATAAATAAATAAATAAATAAAAATAGGTTAATAGAAAAGAAAAAAAAAGCTGCTCATTCCTTGGTCCATGGCCTTCTCTGGCCACCTTCAGCATCAGCAGTGCTGGACTGAGTCCTCACACTGCTGTTTCTCTGGTCCTCCCTTCTGATTCCCTCTTCCACTTTCTAAGGCCCCTTTTGATTACATCAGGCACAGCCAGAGGACCCAGGATAATGTCCCTGTCCACAGTCAGTTGATTAGTGACCTTAATTCCCCTTTGCTGTGTAACCTAACATATCCGTGGGTTCAAAGAACCTTGTTTTTTCATCCAAAACACCTTCATGCTCTGGCTTCCAGGAAGGCAATAGAGGAAGGTCAGAGAGCAGGAAGAGAGGGAATAGACGTGGCATTTCTCGTTCTCTGCCACACTCGCCTGCTCCTGGTGTCCCTGGTGGTGGCTGTAGCATATTTGTCTCTGGCATCAAGACAAGCGGCATCACTCCCTCCTGCCGTCTTTCCATGGCAGTGATGGCAGCACCTCTGGCTCTTGCCTCACCATCCCTTCCGGCTTCTTATCCTTGATTCCATCACCCATAAAACCAAGTCCCTGTATCCTTCTACTTGAAAGATCTAAAGTTATTTGTGTTTTCCCAGTTACACACTGACTGACACAAGTACTGACAACTTAGAGGGCTACAGGGATTCTTAATCCCTATAAAAAGTTACTATCCTGATGATAATATTGAATGAATGATTAGGAATTGTGTTTTCCATCAGCCAATTCTATTTAAATTCCCTGGTCTTTACGATTTATGGCATAAAAATTGAAACTGACGAAAAGTCTTTAAATTGAAGTTTTTGCTTTTCAAGAGTGGACCAAAGTTCAACAAGATCCAAATACTATACTTTATAGAAATAGAACCAAATCTCAGAAGTCTCTCGTTTAAATTCTACATTGATTTAGCTAGATAGATTATATTTTATGCAGTTTCTACAATTTTATGCAGTTTCCTTAATTTGGTGTTATTAAAAAGACCTTTTCACGGTTTTTTTGAGTAGAAAGTCACTTCAGCATAGGAGATGCTTCAGGAATATTTAATGTTATTTATTATCTTTATTGTGTAAGAAGATGTAATATCAATATCATATCACAAATAATAAATTAAAATCAGTAAAAGTTCAGCCAGAAACTGTGGTGCATGCCTGTAATCCCAGCTACTCATGAGGCTGAACGGGAGGATCACTTGAGCCCAGAGTTGAAGACCAGCCTGGGCAACATAGTAAGACCTCCATTTCGACACAATTAAATAAATCAGTAAGAGTTCTATATGGCCCAGAGAATTGCAGACTATGGAATTCAGAAATACAACTAGAGTTGAAATAAAAGTATATTCATAGCAAAAAAGCTAAACATAAACACAAATAACTTCACAATGAGAAGCTGAAAACTGGGTAGACAGATAATTGAGAGTGTAGCAAAGGTCAGAGAAGTGAGAGAAATATACCTAGGTGTGATATTATACAGTAAAAGGGGTAAAAGTCGCAAAACAAAACTTTGCTAATGAATAAAAAAATGAATGTGCATTTCTGGGGTTGTTCCTTTAAGGTCCATAAACAAAAACTCGTTCACATCAGGTGTGTTTATTTCTCATTTTAATCAAAACAAAATGGTTCTAACCAGATGAAATTTGGCTGCTGACTTCTATCACACCACAGGGCAGTGCTCCAGACTATTGGTCAGTGGAGAAATGATATTGTCAGTCCACGTGTCATTCTAAGTTGTTTAACATTTGTATCATATCACAAATGAGTGAACAGGTTTCAACACCCTCTTTCAATTTTTCTTTTGGCCGCATCTTAGGCATTTCGCAGTCTGAGGTTGTGGCGTTTGGATGGGCTAAGCCTGGTGAACCCCCTGCAAACTTCCCCCCGCGGCCTTCACAGCGCTTCCCCTCAGGAGCAGTGTTTGGTCTCTTCGAACGCTTGGCAAGGCCGCTGCTGCCTCCTGGGCTGTTTCCTAGAAGCCTTGATCTCGATTTTCCTCTGTTAAGTTGTGTAAATGAGGTCGCATGTAGATCCTCGAATTTATCGGAGCAATCCTAAATATTAAAAAATCAGATTGGTAAAGTAGGTTTCTTAAAAGCACATTTTGAATTTACAAGTGCTAGTGTGTAATAGAAATAGTGAAAGACGATGAATGAAATTGCCGAATGTTTCTCAGGCAGTCAGTCCCTCAGTTCAGACCCTACACCCAAAGCCGCCCATTATAAACTACCTTGGAAACATACTTTTTACAAATCTGATTGTTTCAAAGGATCTGATTGTTTCAAGAGGGACAGAAGAAATGAAGAGGGAAACTTAGAAAAATTTAAGGAGCTGTCCTCAGGGGCTAGACTGCTAGGCAAGGTTGGAGAGCACACTTTGTAATTTCTTTCCCCCGAAGTATCTCTCCCCTGACCCCAGATATAAATTCTGAACTCTTACATTTTGCTTTTTATATTATCCATATTTTGACCTTTCATCCTTGAAAAGGTAATTTAATAAACATCTTCTTTAATACACACACACACGGTGCCAAAAATACGTATACACATTTTAAGAAGGGAAAAAACTATATTAAAATTATAAATGAAGACAAGCCATATTTAACAGAATTTTGCTGTTAGTGAGTCATATATAATTTTTTACTTCACAGCTACAATTACAAGAGGTACTCAAAGTGGTTACTATGAGCAACCAGACACTTCTGATTACAGCAAACTAAAAGTAATACATAGACAACATCTCTTAAAATGTGTTCACTCATTTGTGGTGTGTCTGTGTGCACAGACACATGAGTGTAGAAAAAGAGAGAGAGTGAGAGAGAAAAAGGAGAGAGCAGTATCCAAGAAGATGGTTGAAATGTTTATATGAAAATAATAAAAATGTTTATGTACACCTGAGAATAAAAAAGTAAAACATCCAGAAAAATCACTTGAAGAACAGACACTCTAATAAAAATGATGGTTCTCTTTTTTTAAATTTTTCTCTAATATATGGCTATATTTTATAATGAAAATATAATCATCTATAAGTACCCCTAAAAGAGAATGGGTCTATTTGTTATCCTCAAATTATCGTGAACGAGTTTCCTCAGCATCCTGAGCAGTCAGTCGTCCCAAGTTAGCTGCAGACAGTCACACCAAGGAAATGGGCCACTTGGATTGGGAGACAAGGTGGGAGTGGATTGTTCAGGGGAAGGAGGGACCAGAGAACTTTTGAGCAGGATGAATAAGAATTAGGGAAACTAGAAAAAGGTTTACCAAAAAGAAGGTATAAAGAGTCTAAAGACAAATTCTACCTATTTTACATGTTTGCCTGGGTTTGAAGAAGGCCAGGAGAGCTTCCTCCTCTTACCTCTTATGTTGACAGAACCATTAGGTAAGCCACATTTAAGAGAATCGTGCTATATATATATATGATGCTAGTGTGCCATATATATTTTGCTTCATAGTTGACATAACTGATTACCAGTGGCTACTATTCTGGGGTCCTACAATTCAATTTCTCTCTTCTGTTTTGATTCCTTTGGGAAATTACCAGATTTTAGAAAATCAGATGAGGAAGGTTTTTTTGACCACCTGACAAATGCCCTTTTACCACTCAATTCTCTGCTGTCAACTTTACTAGAGAAAAAAGACTGGCAACGGTTGAACTAAGTGAAGACAGCTCTATTTCCCTCATCCACTCTTAGGATAAGAGTTGTGAAATCCTTAATGATCTTAAGCCACTTAACATAAACTCAATTTCTTACTTTATTTGAAAAGTGATAGTAAAGATTCCATTTGTCTAAAGGAATTTCAGAAAGTCTCTCCTTTCCAAGAACTATGAACCCATTTTCTACCTTTTTTTCTTACAGAGTACACACTTGTGTATATATACACACTCACTTGGTCAATGCTAAATTACCGAATTTAGATAGAAAAGAAAAATCCAAAATTGAGAGTAAAAGCTGATATTTATCCTCTGTTATTGTAGAGCTAATATAATTAATTATATTACCTATAAAATTATAGGTATAGCTATAATTATAACATATCATAATTATGTGAGATATAGTACATAGTATATATTAGGGAGAACCCCCCCAAAATTGATTTTTTTGGGGAGGGCGAGACCCTTGTAGTACAGACTTCCCTTGCTAGGTAAGTGTTCCAGCAACCCAACGGCATCATTGTACCAGCTAGCATTGTTGTGAGAAGCTGCATTCAGCTTTGGTGAATTTATTTATTTATTTATTTTGAGATTCTTTCAACATGTTTGCCCATTTCATGATAAGTGATTTATGCCAATAACCCGTCCACACCGCGCTGAGTGTTCAGCAGTTTTTGACCAAAAATGGCATGACTACTGTGCTCCGCCCTCCCTATTTACCCGATCTTACCCTAAATGACCTTTTTCTGTATTCTCAGAAGAAAAAAGTCCCCAAAGGGAGATGTTTTGCCAGTATGGAAGAGGTGAAACTCAAAATGGCAAAAGCACTAAAGACATCAAGATGGACAAGTTCAAAAACTGTTTTGAGCAGTGGAAAAAGCATCTCAATAGGTGTATTGCATCAAGCAAAGAGTGCTTTGAAGGGGACTGAAGTTAAACATATAAGAATCAATGCACAATTTTTTATAAATAAATTCCAGGGTTTTTTTGGGTCCCCCCCTTGTATATTATAGTGTGTATAATATATATATATAGCTATATAATATTTACCCTGCCATGCTAAAATGAATGATTTACTGTAGAAAACAAACTCAAAGGGACTATTCTGAAATTAGAGTCACTCAAAGATAGAATGACCCACATAAAATTATCAATTTAATATCCATTTTAGAACTTAGGAGTTTTCCCAGTTATGGGTCATGTCTATTATACATACTAATAGAGAAGACCAGTGGTTCAGAAAATTAAAATAAATCCCTTCTCATTCTAGGTTTTAACTTTGCTCTAGAATGATTTATGTAAATTCTAATAGCAAACTTACCTTCCTAATTGCTTTATGTTAGTATTAAAAATATATTTGAATCTCCAAGTTTCTCACGACATGTTATAGCATGTGATGAAAACAGGAAAGACTAGAAGTTAAATTAAAAGTTTGCGACTCATAATCCAATTGATTGTGAATTTTGCATAGCCCATTTTTAGTGGAATAATTAGCACATAGTAGGAGCTTCACATTTGTTTGCTGAAATGAAGATAATTCAACTATGTATTAAAAAACTATGGCCAGGTTCATTGGCTCACACCTGTAATCTCAGCACTTTTAGGAGGCTGGGGTGAGAGTCCAGGGTTTCGAGACCAGCCTGGGCAACTTGGTGAGAGCTCATCTCTACAACAAATCAAAAAATTAGCAAGGCCTGGTGGTACGAGGATCATCTGAGTCCAGTAGGTCAAGGCTGTAGTGGCCGTGAGCATGCCACTACACTCCAGCCTGGGTGACAGAGTGAGATTCCAACTCAAACAAGCAAAACAGAAACTCTATATTTATAGTTATATTTTTGTGAAAAAAAAATTTCACCTATGTTTGCATAGTATCTGGCCACAGTCAGTGGTTGTATAGGTTGTGTCTCACAACAGCCCCTGGCTATTTTTAGTCGGGATTAAAATCCAGCCAGATTCCCATAGACAGGGCCATGTGCTCTGGCTCTAGGCTGGGTCAGTCAGAGGGCCTGCCCAGAGGAAAGAGCACATTTTTAAAAACTCATGTCTCAGAGAAAGTGCTGCTTTTTTATTTCATAAAAAGGTATTAGGTATGTTAACAGTTCCTCTGATTTTGTGATTATATTTCGAATCAGGTGAGGTTATATTTAAATTTCAGAGGAATTTTTAATGTGGAGGTGTCTATCTCTTGGGGCAATTCAAGTTATACAAATTCTTTTATGTACACATATATACTCTACAATAAAATATTTACAGAACTTTGTCAAATACAGAAATATAAAACTTAGAAAACATTATTACATGTATAGTTCTTCTTGCAGTCCAGTGAAGCAGTGTCCTTGGAATAGATTTCTTTTGATGGATTCTTGTGGCAGATGGTGTGGTTGGTAGTATCCTAACTATCTTGTGAAATGACTTTTTTGGTTTGGTGACATGATCCCTTTCTTTCTGGACCTTAGGTTTTAGATTTTCTCTCTTCAATAATTCTGGGAAGAGGGATGGTTTTGAGTTTTTCTCATCTTCTGCAACTTTATATTTGAACAATTGTGATTCAGAGAACTTGGCACATTTTTCATTGGAAATTTCATCTGGTTTTATATAAAGAGTTTGTGTATCCTTTTTGTGTCGTGCTGATGTTACTAAATGTTTTTTATTGTTGTTATTATTTCCTTTCAACCTCTGACAATACTGGTCTTCTAATTTTGACTTCTCACCAGTCTCTGAATGGAAATGAGTGAAAGTGTGAGTTTTCCAGGAAGGGAAAGGGAGTCTGTTTAAGTATTCCTCATCTTCCCATGTCATTTTGCAATCAGGAGGTCTTGGATACAATGACAATACTGTTTCAGGATTTTCCTCAACAGTCAATTTATAGATGTTAATATGCTCCTTTCTCTCAAGGGTCTTCGTTTTCAGTGTCCTTTCAAAGCAAGCCTTTGATTGAGTCATTTTTGATTTAAACCCCCAACTGTGTGGGTCTTGAATCTCTGTTTTACAAACAGAATGCTCTGCTTGAGGAAGCTGCAGGACCCCATGTTCTTTCCTTTGGTTCTTAGGCAGTATATCTGGAAGTATTTCTGATGACTGACTTAACGGAATTGCCTGGATATTTTTGTTGGAAGAAGGTTGTACTTTTATGAAACTTAGTGTTTTAGCTTCTTCTTTAGGGTAATAACTTTTCTGTTCCCTAACTATTGATGAATTCTCTCTTGAATTGTTTAAGGACAAATATTCCATTTCTTTCTCTCTGATCAATTCTGTTTCTCTAAGTTTATCCTCAGGAGCCTTTTGTAAAGTGTTTTTTTGAACAATTTGTGAATATTTATTTTGCTTTTCTGAATGCTTCTCCACAAAGTGATTTTCATCTCCTAAAGGCAAATCTGTCTTTATATGTTTTATTGGTGTGGAACTAGAATTGAGCACATTTATATGTCGATCGATCCCCTCTAATTGTCTTTCTGTCATTTGTCCTAATCTTGAAAGTTTTTCTAGAAAAAGATTCTGGAGGTATTTGCTTAAATCAGCTTTTAGATTTAATAACTCATTTTCTGATAAAGTGGCCAGATAGTTTTGTAGAGATTTACTTAAAGGATATTTCATGTGGATTTCAAGCCTTCTCCCAAAACTCTCCTTTGAAATATCCTGTTCTAACTCATGAAAAGATATTAAGGCACTTTTAGTTCTGAGAGAAGATATGTTTGAGTGTGTAGTCTCAGATTCTGTCTCATTAAATAAACTGCTTTCTGATAGGTATTTTAGGAAATAGCTTTGGAGAATTTCATTTAAAAAAGATCTTAGCTTTATTTCTAAATGTTTATCTATGAAATGATGATTGAAATTGTTTACAAAAGACATGATTTCTTTCACAGTTTTGGAACACTTCCCCTGAAACATGTTTTGCCCTTTCATTTCTGCTTCCTCATTCAACAAATACAGATTGCGATAGATTTTTGGTAAGTCCTCCTTGGTGATATGTCCTGCTTCTGAAAGTTTTTCTACAAGGTAATGTTGGATTTGTTTACTTAATTCAGATTTTAAATTTTTTACTTCTGACTCTGAGAGTTCTTCTAGAAACACGTGCACCTTTGGACTCAAAATAGGTTGTCTATCTAATTTGTCTGCTTTATCAAAATTCCCTTGGATTTCCTCCAGGTGTTTTGTACCACTGGAAGATGAATGTTGAGTTTGTTTTTCTAATTCTTTTTCTGGTTGTCTGCTTCTTTCGGGCTGATTATTTTTTAAAAAAGCATTAAAGATGTGTTTGAAAAAGGATTTTAACATTAATGCATCTAACTCACTAAGTTTACCCATTAAGGAGTTAGTTAAATTTTCCAAAGTAGAACTTAGATCATTTTCTTCTCTATCAGGTCTCTGACTGTTACTTGGCAATTCTGGTTCTTTATCTGGTGTTGAATGATGTCTTGAATCTTGTGGGAACATAGTTTGACCTGCTATAAATTTGACTCTACTCACAGAGGAAGTGGTGTCTTTAGGAATGAGGAGCATGTTTGGCTCTGAAAGGGGTTCTGTTTTACTGTCAAGTTCTGAATAATACTTTTTGGAATCCTTTAGCTTTTCTTTAGGAAACGCTAGCTCTGTATCCAGCAAAGAAATTTTCTGGTGTTCTTTATCCAATTCTATCACTTTGATTATTCCAGATTCTACAAGAGTATCTATAGGAAATTCTTGTACTATCTGGCTTATAACAGATTCGGGCTGTGACAATTCTATTTCATCACCATTTTCCTCATGAACTAGAATATGTGAAGATGAACTTCTCTTCTGGGGTGTGGGTAATTGATTTTGTGAGTTCATGTGGGTATCCCTCGGCTCTTTCGTGTCTATCTCCAATTCTGAGAAGATCGGTGCAGTGAATATTTGCTTTATGACATGGTCATATACAAGGCCACTTAAACCTGATTTGGAGCTAGATACTTTACTTATTGGATGTTTTCTTTTGAAACTACTCTCTTTTTTAATGGGGATATCTATCTCATCAGCCTTTACATGTTTTTCAGATACACATTCCTCCACTTCTAGAGATTCTGCTGGTCTATGTTCCAAAAGTGAATCTGCAGAAATAGTTTTAATTATTTGACTTAAAATAGCCTTTGAATTAAAAATATCTTTTTCTGAAAGCCAGCTATCTAAGTCTTGGATTTTTCCCCAAACTTTGTCTTCCATACTACTTGATGGTTTATCATGAATGCTGAGAAGTGAACTACTTTTCTTTGTTGCTTCATTGTTCATACCAACTTCTGGTTTAGAAAATAATGTGTCTGAAAAGTCATGCAGATTTTTACTTAAAATTGATTGGAGCACCACTGATTGCTTTAAATTTTCTAGATGGGAGGTAAGACTTAACGACTTTGAGAGGCGAGATACGTTTGCATTCACATTTTTAGTCATTGATGGTTCTCCTTTGAAGTTTGATAGAGATACATTTGGTAGGCTCTCTTTTAACTTACTTGTAGTATCTAAAGCCTTTATTGTGATAATACTAGGATCATAGGCTAACTCTTCCTTTGTGTCTAAAGGCTTAATTGTGAGGATACTAGAGTCAAGGGTCCAGGTTTTCTCAGCAGGTCCTGCAGTCTTTGAACATGCTGGATAAGGAGGATCTTGGTCTTCATACTCTATGACCTCTGCACTTAAAATGTCCCTACATATATTTACATCTTGATCTTTCCTTTTCCTGACCGACATTGTTTGGTTTATATTCCTTAGGAAAGGATCAAAACCATCTTTGTTGAATTTCTGAAAATGTAATATTAAAAAAAGGTAAGACATCCTATAGCATTGATTTTGAGTTTATAATTAATGTCCAAGTTAGGTTTCTTTGAGCAATTTGTCAGATTATCTATTCATTCTCCTACCTTCCACAAAGGGATTAAATCAACTTTTAGTATTTTAAAATATTTGAAATGGAAATAAAAATTTTAATACAAAATTTTCAATTTCCAAATGTGGACAGTATTTTGTGTCCACATACTTTTTGCTACCTGGAATATTTTTAAATACTTAAACACCACCCATACATAGTTTCTTTTAACAACTAAATTTCCATTGTTAGTTACATTTCCTTAGATGGTAGCTAACATCAGGATCTAAGTCTTATCCAGATAAATATTTGCCGTGTTAGTAGCAATGTAGGATTTTTTTAGAAATGCAGTCAAGTAGTAGATATCCCATACAAAGTATCATAAATATTTTCTAAAGACCAACTTGGGGTCATATACCATGTGCCTTTAAATCTGAGAGTTTCAACAAGGATGATGAACTCCACCTGGTCCTTAACATGTCATAGTAGACTCTTGCTTTTTGATGCATACTGCATAATGCCTCAGAAATGGCTACAGGAGAGCAGTATGAAAAACTCAGGATTATGGTAAAAATTTTGTGTGATATCCATAGGCAATTCTGTGGCTCTAGGATCAGGCTATTCTATCTTTGAAATAGCTTCAAAATGAAGTTTCAGGCTGGGGATAATGGCTTACGCCTGTAATGCCAGCACTTTGAGAGGCCAACGTGGGAGAATTGCTTGAGCCCAGGAATTCAAGATCAGTCTGGGCAACATAGTGAGACTTCGTCTCTACAAATAATGAAAAAATTAGCTGGATATAGTGGCACATGCCTGTAGGTGGAAGGATCACCTGCACCTAGGAGGTTAGTCTGTGGTAAGCAGTGATTGTGCCACTGCACTCCAGTCTGGGTGACAGTGAGACTTCAACTCAAAGAAGGAGAAGGAGAAAAAGAAGGAGTAGTTTCTTACTCAAACCCTTTGTTCAAACAACTCTGTGTTATTCAATTAAATAACACAAAAATGTGAAAATTATTAGCCTTATTTGTCTTTTTGACTTCTACTTAGTTGTTCAAAGTTCATTTTAATGGAAACAATTAATGATAACTGGTTTTCAAATTCTAGAGGATACTCAGATGGCAGATTAGGAATCCCCTGGGTTTTGTTGAGAAATACAGATTCCCAGCTTCTGTTTCCAGCTGAGATTTGTTAGGTCAGAGGTGGACCTGGGAATATGTATTTTTTAAAAGATTTACAGGTGTTTCTGTTTCTGCTCATAATTAGTATTTTGGTTTTAGAACAATTGAATTATCTAAATTATTGGAGAAACCTCATAATTAAACATAATTAATATTGGATAGGATAACTGAGGACTCACCTGAAATTTTGGTTTGAATTCTATATATTCTGGTCTGAAAGATGGTGAATTATATTCTTGTAGTGAAAAAGCCACCTTATAAAAAAAGAAGTTTTAATTTTAGACTACTTGTAATGCAAAGATATTTCCCAAGATAATTTTATTCTTTTATTATTACAGACATAAAAAATTTTAAATCCTAAATAAGTATTTTTTCTCATAACTACTATACTTTACTTTGCCAATTATCAAAGAAATCTGTCTCTTGGACCCTTCTTCATCACTGCCCTCTCTTCCTGCATAGAGTATACACTGCTGGCAGCACTGTTTTTACCCAATCACTCTCCCAGACATCAAAACACCACATTTGGCCAGGTGCGGTGGCTCATGCCTATAATCCCAGTACTTTGGGAGGCTGATATGGGAGGATTGTTTGAGCCCAGGAATTCAAGACCAGCGTGGGCATCATAGCAAAAACTCATCTCTACAAAAAAAAAAAAAAAAATCTAAAAATTAGCCAGGCATGGTGGCACATACCTGTAGTCCCAGCTACTCAGGAGGCTGGGGCAGAAAGATCATTTGAACCCAGGAAGTTGAGGCTGCAGTGAGCCAGGATCAAGCCACTGCACTCCAGGCCGAGCAACAGAGTGAGACCTTGGCTCAAACAAACAAATGAAAACTGTTCTCTAAGGAAAACATGGCATCTACCTAGGTGGAGATGTTATATGAGTTTTGGCCTTGACAGGGAAGCAGAGTAGAGCTTACCAAAATTCACAGCTCCACATCAGAACACACTGGTTCTCTGAAAATGTCAAGTCTGTAGCCATCCTGACTGCCCTCTTCCATCCCACACACCCTTCAGAGAAGCCTGCTAGCACTTACACAGAACTTACCTATACAATCAACATACTCATAAGCATATTCATAAGCACATTCAGAAGCATAAAACAAACAATGCTCACCTGGCACTTGAGGAAAATCAATATATGTAAGTGAAGAATCAATAAGAACAAACAGAACAAATTCCAGAGTAAAGACAGATATTTCTGAGGGATGTAGGGGAAGCATGACCCTTGGAAAAGATTCTGAATAGTATCCTCAGAGGTAATCAAGAGGATATTGATTTCCCTTAGCTGTACAATAATTATCTCAAATTTAATGCATAGAAAACATAATTCTAAAGTAGCACCCCACCCCAAAACAAACACACACAAAAAACCCTTGGCCTTCCTCTGCTAGATTTATCCTCATCTCAGTTGATGGTGCTTCCACCTAAGGCATTGTTAGACAAGAAACCTAAGAGTAACTCTTTGTTCCTCTTCTCTTTTCCATAACTAATGAAAGCAGCATCAAGTCCTGTGACTGCTGCCTTCAAAATACATCAAGTATCGAATCACTTTCCACCATCAACCCAACTTTCACTGTAATATAAGCTGCCATCATCTTTCCCCTAACAACAGTATCCTAAATAGTCTCTTGCTCCTTGTGACAGACACTGCTAGTTGTCTTCCCAAAATATATTCTCTCAAGAACCCTCATTTTTTAGGTGACAGAACTGTCCCCAGTTAAAAGAGCTGTATCTTCTAGCCTCCTTTGCAAAGAGTAGTGGCCATGTGACAAGACTCTGGACAACGACATATAATTGGAAGTTGTTGGGAGAAGTTTCTGAGAAATTTTTATTTTTTGAGTTGAAGTCTCCCTCTGTCACCCAGGCTGGAGTATAGTGGCACACTCATGGTTTACTGCAGCCTCAACCTCAGGCAATTTTTCCAACTCTGCCTCCCGAGTAGCTGGGACTACAGGCATACACCACCATGCCTGGCTAACTTTTAAATTATATGTAGAGACTAGTTGTCATTATGTTGCCCAGGCTAGTCTTGAACTCCTAGGCTCAAGCAATCCTTCAGCCTCCCATAGGTGTGAGCCACTGCACCCATCTCTGAGGGAGTATCTTAAAACAGAGATAGACATAGCTAGACAGACACCTAATTGACCTTGTCCCTTTCCTTCTTCCTGCCTGGAATTCATTGTGATGCCTGGAGATACAGAGTCCATCTGGTGTCATCTTACAGTAACGTGCAATTGCTGAGAATGACTGTCCAAAAAGAAAGGGAACCTGGGCTCCTAATGGCATCATGAAACCACAGTACCACTATTTAAGCCATTGTTTTTCAGTTTTTGTTATTCATGGTTAAATATGATTCTTAACTGATTCAACAACTTCTTCTCATACTGAGTTTATTCTTCCACAGTGGAATAAAGCTATAAATCAGTAAGAGAAGAGAGTTGGAAACTTTACAGATATGTGGAAATCAAACAAACAAACAAAAATAAACAACCAATGAGTCATAGAAAAAATTACAAGTGAAATTAGAAAGTACCTTGAGACAAATGTAAATACAACATACCAAAACTTATGGGATATTGAAAAATCAGTGCTAAGAGAGAAATGTATGGCCTAAAGCATTTACATTTAAAAAGAGAACGATCTCAAATTAACAAAATAACCCTATACATTAAGAAACTAGAAAAAGAAGAGCAAATGACAGCCAAGCTAAGAGAAGGAAGGAAATAATAAGGATCCAAGTGAAGGTAAATAAAAAAGAGCAGAGAAAGACAATAGAGAATATCAATAATACCAAAAGTCGTTTCTTTGAAAAGATCAAAAAAATTAAAAGCCTTTAGCTAGATTGACAAAGAAAAATAGAAAGACTCAAATTACTCAAATCAAAATTGGGAGTGGGATACTAGTACTGATTTTACAGAAACAAAAAGGATTACAAAAAAATTCTATAAACAATTGTACACCAACAAGTTGGTAATGTAGATGAAATAGATAAATTCCTCAAAAGAGCCAAACTACCAAATCTGACTCAAGAAGAAATATACGTTCTGAATACACTTATAGAAAGTGAAGAGATTGAATCTGTAAACAAGAAATGAGTTCCTGTGGACTTTACATGATCTATTGTATATCTTCACCCAGAATCTTTTGACCCAGTTATCTGTGAATTTGTAGTCCCCTTGTAGCTTTTATGACCAGTGCTCACTGCTGTTTCCAAGTTATATGAGATAGATACAAGCAAGTCAGTCCCTCAGGTATCCCCCAGTCAGAGTAGAACAGACACACACTATCTTTTTTTTGAGTTGGAGTCTCACTCTGGCCCAGACTAGAGTGCAGTGGCATATTCTCAGCCACCACAGCCTCGACCTTCTGGGCTCCGGCGATCCCTCTGCCTCAGCCTTCCAAGTAGCTGGAGCTACAGGCGTGCACTACCACGCCTGGCTAATTTTTTTTTATTATTATTATTTATTGTAGAGATGAGGTCTTGCCAAGTTGCCCAGGCGGGTCTCGAACCCACGGGCTCAGGCAATTCACTCACCTTGGCCTGCCAAAGTGCTAGGATTACAGGCTGAGCTACTGAGCCTGGCCCAATCATTTTCAAATAAGGTTATGCTCCCTCCTGAAGGGAATTAGGAACTGGGCTTCCACTGCTCAGAACCAACAGTGCTGTTGTACCTAAAATGGGTTGGAGCAAGGGTCAATAAAAATGCCAAGAAAATTTTCTAGCATTTTGAAGATGGTTATTGCTTGGTTGGATTGTTGTAAACCTTTAATTGTTCTCCATAGTTCTTACAAAGTTTATTAAGACAGTTTCTGGTGTTCTTTTTTGTTTGTGTGTTTATTTAGCTATTATTTTTTTAAAAATATGTTCCTCAGAGGAGCAAGACTTTGGAACAGCGTAATTTGCAATTTTGTTGATGGCATTCCCCTTTAACATTTCTTGTGCTGCAGGTCAGCTTGCTGTTAATTCTCCCAACTATCATTTGCTGAAAAAAAAATTTTTCATTTTACCTTCATTTTGAAAGATATTATCACTAGTTAAATAATTCTAGATAAACAGGTTTTTTTCTTTTATTACTGGAAAGATGTTATTCCATAATTGTCTCCCATTCATAGTCTCTAAAAAGAAGTCTGCCATTTTTCTTATATTTGTTCTCTGTAAATATTTCTTGTGTTTATATCTTTAAATAATGTGCCTTTTGCCTCTATGGGTGCTCCTAAGGTTTTGTATTTACCATTGGTTCTCAGCAATGTGATAATGATATACCTTAGCATGGTTTTCTTTAGGTTCATTCTCCTTGGACATTATTGAGCTTCTCAAATCTGTGTGTAGGTTTATAGTTTCTGTCAAATTTGAAAATATCTTGGCCATTATTTTTTCAACTACTTTTTGCACTTTCTGAAACTCCATTTACATGGGTGTTATACCTCTTGGTATTTTCACAAAAGTTACAGATGCTTTGTTTATTTTTTAAAATATTTTTTGGGTGCTTCACTTTATATATAGTACCTAATCCTATGTCTTCAGGTTCACTGCTCTTATCTTCTGCAGCATCTGATATGTTTTTAATCTCTTAAAGGTTATTCTTCATTCCAGATATTGTATTTTTCATATCTAAAAATTCATTTTGGTTTAATTTTACCTTTCATTTCTTTCCTCATCATACTCATGCCTCCTTTACCTATATATAAAATATACTTATAATAGTTTGTTTAACATTGTTTTCTGTTTGTTCCAGCATCTCTGTCATTTACAGGTCTTTTTTTGATTGATTTTTTTTTCCTGTACAATGAGTAATATTTTATTGCTTTTTTATATGCATGGTATTTTAAAAATTCTATCTTATTTTCATGTTATTTCATTTTTAGAGGCAGCGTCTCATTATGATGCCCATGCTGAATGAGAACTCCTAGGCTCAAGTTCTGTCATTTTTTACAGAATGTTAGGAATTGTGGGTTTCATGTTGATGGTTGATAGTCTTTGTTTCTTTCTTTATAATCATGTTTGATTTTGTTCTGGTACACATTTAAATTACTTGTAATCAGTTGAGTTCTTTGATTGTAAGATTTATTGTAGGAGGAGATTGCCTAGAGAAGACTTTAATGGAGCTTTAGAGGGGCTGACTTAGCCTCTCTACTAAGGTGATGTCCTTCTAAGTCTTCTACTTTCTGTCACCTGTGTTATGAGTCTTTCCACTGTGGCTGATGAGACTATGAATTACTGGTAGCCCTGTGTGAGTACCCATAATTT